ATGGTAAAGGGCTATGCTGCTGGTCTCTGCCCCAGTGTTTCAGTAACAATAACTACAGCTGAGACCAGGAAGTGGATCAGTCCACCTCCGGTACCTCACTGACTTCATGAGTATCAAATATTTTAAAATTTATTTTTTATTAAGATGGTTCAGAACCAAACTACATTTCTAACGTGCTATGAACCATCCAGGCCTGCAGGGCTGGGGGCAGGTCTGCTGCAGTCCCCAGAGCAGCAGCATTCAGGTTTTGGTTTAATATATTTAAAAAAGAATTTAGAGATGATCAGTCTGTACATGGTAAGTCTGTTACAGTCATGTAAACCATGCCATGTCTGCTGTTGTACATCCAGTGAGTTAGCTGAGCACACTTGGACACACTTCATACTCATCTTAAACAGTAAAACAAAGACTTCACATCCACGCTGTTTCAATGTGGCTCACTGAACATGGTTTTCCACTAAATTCCCCTGAGGATTATTAAACCGACTATGGAGACTCAGCAGCCCAGATACATGTGGAAGCCAGATTCACTCATCCTTAGTGTTTTGACAATAACTGAATGTAGTAAAACTACTTGACATCCAGTCTAAAATTGGTAATGAGTTCACTGAGTGATGAAGAGGAGCAGTAGAGGAATAATAAAGCTGATTCTGATGCCAGGTTCCTTTTCATCTTGGTTACTGCTGTGTGCTCCTGTAGGTCTCCATCCAATCAATAACGACAACATAAAAGTTCCTGCTACAGCTGCTGGACGGCAGGTCGATGTCCCTGAACCAAAACTGGAAATGTGTTCAGAACCGAGCTAAAGGACTGAACTAAAGGCTCCTCAGTGCAGCCGAGCTGATGATGATGATTTCCAGGGTCAAGTAAATAAACTAAATAAGCCAATAAATGCAACAGGGCCACATTTTATTATACATCAAGTTAGTAATTTTAATATTTACTCCTTTGGAGAACGTGTTTGGTTTGTGGTGGAAACTTTGCTTCACATGGTAAAAATCTGTCTGTTCACTGTGACTTGGAGATGGAGGACGGAGATACAGAAATACAGAAGGAAGGGCAGGTCGTACTCCCCTCTGAACTTCTGCTGTGAGGCAGAGGACAAACAACAGATATGCATTTACAGAACAAACATGTCACAGTTTTACGTACCGATAGTGCAAATCATGCTTGTCAGATGGAGAGATAATAAAGGAAACGGACAGGAAGTTGTGAAAAACCTGCACACAGGGTCCTTGAGTCCCAGTCATGATGGTTGACAAAGCAGCAGAGAGGCTCTGTGCTAGAAGTGATACAAAGGATGAATGTGAAGTGGTCATTCTACAGACATGAACAGACTGTCAGATGCTGGCGTTTGAACTTTGACCTCATAACAATGTGGATGGTCCTTTTCCTCTTTAGCCCAGAGGACACGACGGCCATGATTTCCAAAACCAATTTGAAACGTGGACTCGTCAGACCACAGCTCACTTTGCCACTTTGCATCAGTCCATCTCAGATGAGCTCGGGCCCAGAGAAGCCGGCGGCGTTTCTGGGCGTTGTTGATGTGTGGCTTTCACTTTGCATGGTAGAGTTTTAACTTGTACTTGTAGATGTTGTGACGAACTGTATTAACTGACAGTGGTTTTCTGAAGTCTTCCTGAGCCCATGTGGTCATATCATTTACAGAACGATGTCTGTTTGTAATGCAGTGCCACCCAAGGGATCAAAGGTCACGGGCATTCAGTGTTGGTTCACGGCCTTGCCGCTTACGTGCAGAGATTTCTCTGGATTCTCGGAACCTTTCGATGATGTTATGGACTGTAGATGATGAAATACCTAAATTCCTGGTAACTGTACAGTGAGGAACGTTGTTCTTAAACTGTTGGACTAGTTGCCTGTGCAGTTGTTCACAAAGTGGTGAACCTCACCCCATCCCCACTTGTGAACGACTGAGCCTTTTGGGATGCTCCTTTTATACCCAATCATGACGCTCACCTGTTTCCAATGAACTTGTTCACCTGTGGAATGTTCCAAACAGGTGTTTTTTGAGCATTCATCAACTTTCCCAGTCTTTTGTTGCCCCTGTCCCAGCTCTTTTGGAACGTGTTGCAGGCATCAAATTCAAAATGAGTGAATATAGTTGATCAGTTTGAACATTACATGTCTTGTCTTTGTGGGGTATTCAATGAAATATGGGTCAAAAAGGATTTGCAAGTGAATGTGTTCTGTTTTATTGACACTTTCCACAGTGTACCAACTTCATTGGAACTGGGGTTTGGACATACACAGACATACAGTAATCATGCCACGACTCCACCTGCTGGAAGTGTTGGTGTTTATCACTAAGGCCGTGGACACAGGGTGACTACATGCCCATCATAAAAAATATGTGACACTATTATAAACTGGCTTGTTCCTTTCCATTGTCGGTGCATCGGTCTGTTCGTGCCACGTTACCGCCACCCAGTGGGCATCAGTGGAACAGCAGGACGCCATCAGCAGCCTGCGCATCACTTCACGTCTGCATCTTCTACTGGTGTCAACTTGTCATGAAGATGAAGCTACAAATGTTTTATAAAAAGGTTTTCTGGTGTTGTAACAGTGTACCATTACTTAGTTAGTTGTATTTGGATTTTGTTCGACTTGAGACAGAGAATGTCTGTTTAAATGACATCAGCATTATGACTTACAGTAATCTGTCAGCGTGATGTGGTCTGATTTAGAATTTCAGTCTAGATGTTTTTCAGTTTTAGAAAATATTTGAGCTATTCCTCAGTATGTGCAATATAAAAACTTTAAAGTGTATTAATGCATGAGTTGGTGAAGTGCGTGAGTGATGAAGAGGAGCATCAGAGCCTGCTGTGAGTAAATAACAGGGTTGGTGTCGCTATTTTATCATTACTGTGGAAATGTGGCTTTGTTATGAACCAGTGCACAGACGCTGTTCTATGGGCGTGTGGCCGTATTTTGTACACGTTTAATTAGCCTACGTGATTATTACTCTTTCTTCTATTATACTCCTTGTCTATGTCTTGTGCACGCCCCTCCGTCTTTCTCTTCTTTACTCTTTTTTCAGCCACTTCACGGTGTTAATTTTCATGCCATGTGAATGAAAAGAGACAAAACTACAACTTTTATCAGGTGATCGTGTAAATAATGACACACAGACAGTACAGAGTGGATGCTGAGCTTTAATCAGAAGAAAATAGAGGATCAGGAGAATTGATTCCTTTTTGATCTCAAATGAAATGTAAAGGCATTTTAGAAAATCATTTTTATTACAACCCCCTCAGTCCTCGATCCTTTCCTCTCCCTTTCCCGCCTTTCCTCCCCCTCAGTCCTGGATCCTTTCCTCTCCCTTTCCCGCCTTTCCTCCCACCCAGTCCTCGATCCTTTCCTCTCCCTTTCCCGCCTTTCCTCCCCCTCAGTCCTGGATCCTTTCCTCTCCCTTTCCCGCCTT